CAACCAGTCACTGTGCTAGGTTCTCAGGATACAGTGGTGAACATGAAGGAACACAGTCATCACTCTTATGAAACTTACCATTCTGGGAGACCCTAATCAGATAATTATCTGAATGATGTAAAGTTGCTGTGAAGAAGAGGTACATAGGATTCTGGGAGTGAAATTGGGGCAGGGTTTGGCCTGATTAGATGAGTCAGGGAAGACTTCTTGGAGGAAGGAACTATTGCACAGAGGGCTGCTGGCAGGAATAGGGTCCATGCCAGAAACTGGCAGAGGCCAGGGCTTGCAGAGCCCACCGGGAGGTGGCGGCCCAGGCCCTGCAGAACCTTTTAGGCCTCGGGGCGGTTGGGGGGGACTTTGGTCTGTGTCCTTTAAGAGCTCTGGGAAGCCATTGCAGGGTTCACTGCTAGAGCTGGCATGGTTGGGTGGAGAGCCATTGGAGGGACAAAGTTGGGAGACCAGGAAGGGGCAGTTTCAGTTATCCAGGCAATGAGGGGTTTTGGTTTACAGGTTGCTGGTATTGATGCAGGAGTGTGCAGAACTGAAATGCATAGGAAGCAAAATGGACAGACTTGAGAAGGAGAGCGTTTGCTGTCAAAGATAACGCATGGGTGTCTGTCTCTGACTTCTGTGGCATGTTGAATGGTGGTGCCCTTTGCCTAAATAGGGACACAGGACGGGGCCTGTGGTTGGCTGTTTGGGGAGCTGGTAGGAGAAAGAGAGTATTTCATTTTGAGAGTGTTGAGCTTTACCTGAGAGTGGGGCTTCTGAGGAAAAGCTTCAGCTTCTCTGGGGCTCGTGTCCTCCTCTCAGTTCTCGATGTTGGTCCTCTTATCTAAAGAATCTGACATTCCACACAAACCAACTTGTGTTTCTTTGGCCAAGCAGATCAATGCAACAGGTTTTGAGGGCCATCTTGTCCAGCCCTGTCCTACACCCTCATTGTGCATTGTAATTCAGAATCACTCATGAATCATTCTAAATGCAGTATGATGTGGTGCAGAGAGTAAGTATAATTGGCTTTCGGAGCAGGGAGAGATTAACAAGGCCTGGGGACTTGGTAAGCAGCCGAGAGGCTAATCCTGTTGCAAGTGCTTCCCTCGGCCGTTGGTCTTTATTAACTGTGGCCAGTTTCTAGGTCCAGGGACAGTGACAGAGTAGCAAAGAATTTTAAGCATAGTTATATCCAGTCTTGCTAACTTTGGACATCAGATGCACCAATAATAAACATAACTGTGAGGTTACCTTGAGTTCTTCATTATGTACATGTTTGTAAGCCCATGTGTTCATTTGCATATGTGTGTTGTTTTACCCAAAGAGCAAAAGGAAATGGCTAGACTTGTGCTATTACTGGTAAAACTTGTATAAACCAACTTAAGAAATTAGGGTAAACCTATTTCAGTGAAAGAAAGGATTATACTTGGCTTACTCTCTGGGGAGTTAGTATCTGCTGTGGCATCTCCTGGAAGAGAAGGGCAGTGTTCTTTGGTTCTCGAGTGAGCAGCAGCTTTTGGAGCAGCCTGTCAGGGCCCAGACTCCCAGCTGCTTCCTCGTCCCTTCACTGCCTGGTCTCCTCACTCAGCGGCAGAGCCTACTTACTCTAAAGCAGATCCTTGTCCTCCCCGGAGGCTGCCAGTCATGCCTTCCCTCTGCTCTGGCCAGCGTTCTGCCTTTCTAGCAACAGATGTTTCTGAAAAGTAAATATTATTGCCTCTGCTTGGCTCCTTGCTGTGTCTCGCACTGCCTGAACATGAAACATTGGGGTTATATGAGCAGGGTGCCACGAAGCTTGGCATGCACCCAGCACCAACACCAGCCTCCCTGCCTTCTCTCCTCTACTGAAATGTGTGTGTGAGATTCCTGTATGCATCAAAATGAAGGCACCGGAAAGAAGTGTCTGTGCAGCTGCATATCCAGCGTGATCACCTACATAAGAGGCCAGCACTCTTTCTGGGTGGCAGTAGCCAAGCAGCAGTGGCTTTTGGGTGTTCTCTTTTTGATGTTCTCTGCACTGTCCCAAGTAACGGAGAGGAGTTGATCTTAATGGGGTGAACCAGTGCAGTGTGCTCCAGGGACCTCAGTTCAGAGGGCTTGGTAGAGTTGCAGATCCACATCTTAGAGGTTGTGTGTGCTTATGTCAGCCCTTTCACTTCTCCCACTTTCAGTATGGGTAATTGTGCCTTGCTTCCTCGGCCCTGTTATGAAAGACTAATATATTAAGGAAGGGTAGCCCAGCCCTGCCTAGAACAGAAGCTGACAGCCTACAGAGCGCTTACCCCGTGTGTCTCAGTGGGTCTCCTGGCAGCCCCACAGCTTAGGTAGGCCTTCTCACTAGGAGGATGACTTACATTAGGTGGGATGTTAGAGGCTTTATGACTAACCCAGGGTTAGTTACATAGCTGATCAATGATGGAGCTAAAACGTGAATCCAGGAGCGGTGGAGGTTGAGGTGAGGGCCAGGGCCTGGGGAAGGGATTGACCAATGTGTAGAACCAGGACCCCATGTAATACCAGTGGAGAAGGGAGGTTCTCATAGTTGAGCTGGAAATGCTGTTCCAAAGGCCGGGAGTAGATGCTGAACAAGGAAACAGCGGTGTTCACTGTACCTTTACATGGAGAGTTCTCTCTCAGGCACGTGTCATTCAAGCCCATGGTGAGTTTCTTTTCAGATTCCAGTGGCTGGGCTTCTCACTCTACCCAGCTGTCCTTCCTGGCCCACAGCCCAGTGTTGACTCCATACCAGGACTCATCACCTAATCTCCCATCCAGGGGACCAGCCTCTTTATCAGCTTTGTGGGGCCCACAGCGCTTCACGGGGTATGCTGAGTGTCACCACACAGGGAAGTCGGGTCACACTCTGGTTGTAAGCTTACTGGTTTGTTTCTGGTTCCATGGGCCTCCTGAGAAAGGCCCCATTGTGCATCATTAGCCACCGTTCAATCTTCATTGGCAGCACGGCTTTTCAGGTGCCTGTTTGGGAGCTTTCCCAAGCCTGGCTGACTCTTCTCCTTTCTTCTACCTAGTTGAGAAGAGGGTCCAGCTTGAGTCTTACTTGCCCTATTGGAGAGGCACAGGAGGGTTGTGAGTGGATAGAGAAGCACTCCTGTTCTTACTCTTTGCTTAGGCCTCTATCTGTGAATCCCGATCAGAGAAACATTCTGGCAAAGCCTCGACTTGAGTACCACCTGTCCACATTCCATGCACTGTATGAAGAACTTTGTCTTCTACTTAGAAACATTATTCTTCCTCATTTTCTTCCTGCCTGACTGTTGCCACCCCTGTCCTCCCCACAGTGTTCTTTCAGATGCATCTGTTTCTTTCTTGACTTGCCAGGGAATGATGTGTGTTCTTGGGGATATTCTCAGCCTGGGTTTGGCCAATCTTAAGAGATGCCCTGAGAGATTTCTCTGCCAGAATCTCTACTTTTGGCCAAGAACCATTCCATTAAAGTGACTGAACCAGAGACTGCTGGCCGTCGGCTCCTGTGTTCGCCTCCGCTCCAAGTGCCTTCCTCTGCTGGTGATGAGTAGAGGGCCTTGCACCAGGCATAGCGAGCTTGGGACCCGCGTTGTATGAGCTGAGGTTGGGAGGCCAGTCCCGGAGCAGGAGCCCCTGGAAACCGTGCAGTGGTCTGAGCCTCAGACCCAAGAGGAGCAGCACAGCCCCATCTGGCTCCATCGCTTGGGGTGAACACTCGGTTTGGCGCGCTCACTACTGGGGGTTGGATTTGTATATAGCTCTCCCCATCCCTGCCACACACATATTATTTAGCACGTACTGAGCAGGGTACAGTGCCAAGTACATGGAGAGGAAACAAACCAAGCCAGTAGATGGAAAAAACATGACCCCTAACCTCAAGGGACAAATTTAGGAACTAAAAAAGAAGTGCTGAGTATCATGGATGCTTTTATTCCAAAAGGTTCTGTTGATCTGTGAAGTCAGAATCCTCCCTCACCCCTGACTCCCCCTAGTACCTTATGAAAGCCAGACCTTGCTGCCAGTTATGCCTCATATTTCCCTCCTCTGGGAATTTGAACATAATGCCATTTCCCCTTCAATGAGGGAAACATGTCCGAGGGTAATTTGAATGATTAGCCTAATCTGCAGGAAGGCTGCACATGGAATTAAGTTAAGCACATTTGTGCCGAGCAGCCTCGTCTGTCAGGCCACTTAAAGGTACCTCGGTGGTTTATACCCTTAACAGAAGCTGAGGGTTCCGGAAGGGTCATTGGTTTTTATTACTGTCTTAAATGAAAGCTTGTTTTTAAAATTTGACAAGGGCCTCTGAGAGCTTTCTTTATAGATACCATGTGTGGGGTGCGTTTTTTACCCCAGCTCAGAACATTGCCAGGGCTTTGTTCTCCTGGCGGTGGTGGAACGAGGTCACCCAGGGAACTAACTGGTTCAGGCAGAGCTTTGTCAGGCTGACGGCTGCTCTCCTCTGAGGGGAGCCCAGAGGGTTCTGAGAACTCAGACCTTGTGTGTCCTTGAGTCAGAAGAGGAGGTTCGGGTGCTCCTGTGTAGTTCCAAGCCCTTTCTGCCAGCTCCCACCTAATGCCTGTTTGTCGTGTGTGTTAGACTGGGGTGTGTATTGTTGAGTCTGACATGGGGGCAGCTTCGCTGACCATGTGGAGGGTCAGTGACAGAGCAGGGCTGAACAGATCCTAATGTGGGCTCTGACCCCGACATTCTTAGGCAAGTGGATTCCCATGTGTATCAAGTGGGGATGGCAGGACTCTCTGTGTAGCTTGAGGAATTAAGGGAGAGGGGGCCAGACTCCTTAAAGCAAATGTAGCAAAAGTACTGACTTGTGAAGCAGCTATTTCCTGTTATAAACAGTTACTTACTGTTTTGAATTTACATTATTTTGTGCTCTGAGATGGACTCAGGAACAGATCTAGCTGCTTTTTGTAGTACAAGGACTAAAAAGTGCAGTAAATAGGAAAGCAGATTTATTTCAGTAATTCACATTTTTTACTCTTTTTTTTTGTTGTTGCTAGATTTGTCTTCAGCGAAGCGGAAATTTGCAGACTCCTTAAATGAATTTAAATTTCAGTGCATAGGAGATGCAGAAACAGATGATGAAATGTGTATAGGTAAGTCACAACCACATGTAAGAATGTAAAAAGTGCACTGTTCACCACACTTTCATCATCCTCACTGGGTCTTTCCCCTGGAACAGCGAGTATGTAAGTGTCATAAATTAAGTCGATATTAAGAGTAGACTCAGCAGAGTGAAGTGAGGATCAGGGGTCCTGGGGCTCTCCTGGGCTTTTCCTCGGAGTTCTGGGATTGGCCCCCCCCCGGCCTGTAGGAGAGCACGGGAAGGTTTGCAGTGGGTCTCCTGTCTCCACCTTCCACTAGGCATGCTGCTTCTGGCTGGCTTCATGACGTTCTTCCCCCAATTCCAAACGTGGTACCTTAGGATTAGAGCAAAAGTAGAACATGGGGAGACGGGAGAAGAGCTAGATCAGAGGTCCTAATGCAGACATATTTTCTTGGACACTCATTTTTTAAAAACTGAATTACCGTATAAATTGAATTTGTGTCAAGTTCCAGTTTTTCAGCTTCTTTAAAAATTGGGGAGCCTGAGCAGCCGACCTCTCGTTCTGCCCTGGCAGCAGTTGGCTGGGGCTGTGTAGCTGTCATTGCCTTTGGATGTGGAGAGAAGCTGGGGGTCTGCATTATTCACTGCCCACCGCTCCCCCACCCCCACCTACCCCTTGCATTTTCCTTAGCAACAGGTGGAGGTTCTCATTTATTACCTCACTGTGTTGTGTCTCCCTTTACCGTCTCCTGTCCATCTTTTGTGGGCAACACTCAGCACAGAGGATTTGCAATGTCAAGACACCTGTCTTTGCCAGATCCTAGTCTTTGCACCGTATTCTTCCATTGGGTGTATTGGTTGACTCCATTCAGTGAGCAGGAGTTGAGCGAGTTACACTGAATTAATTAAGTCACTAAATGCTTATGGAGTCCCTGTTGGCTTACAGAGCATCAGAATCTGGGGATGAGCAGGGGGAATTGGGAGACAGCTGAGAGCAGTGAAAACATATCATTGTTGTAATGCCTGAAAATGTGAATGCTTTTCCCAACAATACATGAATGTCTCCAATATCCTTAGGGCTATTGTATGCAATGCTTGTTGCGTTTGGAATAATTTCAATGAAAGAGACTGTCTACGTCTTACTGCTACGCTGCCAACTGTGTTGCAATAATAAAGGGCTTGAGGATTCAGAGAGGAGGAACCCAAGGCAGAGAGGTGGCTTCCAATGCCAGCGGCATTGTTTGTTTAACTCTGGTGCAAAGAAAAGGTTGGGTTCTGACGCAGCCCCACAACAAAGGTTGCAGGGGTTGAATCCTGGGCAGGAAATCCTTGAACTCCTGAGAAGAACTCTACCCCATCCAGCCTGGAGCTGGCCAGCATCCCATCAGTCCTGGGGACTCTCAGGAACATGCAGGCCTTTTCCTTGAAGGAAACCCTTCCCCAGCTTGAGTTCCCAGGGGATTATCCTGCATTTTGGGGTCATCCTTAATGGTTAGTGATGAAAAGACAAGGGGAGCCTTGGGAAGAGTTGTCTTTAGGCTTCTGCACATGCCAAGGGATTTTAGTCCGTAACATAATAGCTGTATCTGGAAGGGTCTCCAAGGGCCTTTCACTCTACTTCCACCTCACGACCCCTTTCTATTTTCCAGCAAGGTCTTTACAGGAGTTTGCCACTGTCCTCAGGAATCTTGAAGATGAACGGATACGAATGGTGAGTATGGCTGGGTTGCCCTTGGTCATGGACAGTGTGATCATTGAGGGAGCACAGGGTTTGTTATCAGAAGAATGGGGTTGAGTCTAGGCTCTGCCACTTGAGTACTCTGGGCTCATGAGCAGATCTCATCTTCTCATCCTTGCTAGGTTTTGAAGCCTTTTGTAAATATTAAAGGTTTACCATGCGTAACTTAGAACCACATACTTACCCTCCTAAAGATTCACTATAAGGTGTGTGTATATATATGTATGTATATAAAGTATATGATTTAGGGTGGATCATTTGAATTACTTAGCTTTTAGATGGAATAAATCTTTTGAATTTAACTCAGATCCCTTATTGGCAGAATGGGAATGAAGGTGCCCTGCCCTGCTCCCCTTCTCCTCACCTTACTAAACTCATCTAAGAGCTCTCTTTTGTTAATTCTCAGGCACCTAACACAGTGCCTGCCATGTTGGTAGGCACCCAGTCAATGGGTACTTAGTAAATGATAGGAACTATAAGAAGCTTTTCAAAGAGAGGCAGTATGCAAATTCAAGAATCAAACACCGATCTCCAGGTTTCTAAGAGATATCTTTTGTATGAGGGTTTGTTCTGATGTTGTTCAGCATTCACAGATGAGGGATTTTGCGTTCACAAGAAGCTCTTGTGGGCCTCCCTGTCTTATTCCTAAGATATTAGGAGTGAAGCTGCGTGCTGCTTTGTCCCCAGGTGGGCTTGTCTCTAGGCAGCAGTGCCTCAGAGGAGAGTCATCAAATGCGCATTGGTTTCTCTTCCCATACTGACAGTCAGTCGTTTCAGGACTAAGTACTGCCTTAGTCTGCTCAGGTTGCCATAACAAATTTCCACAGACTGAGTAGCTTAAACAACAAACATTTATTTTTCACAGTTGTGGAGACTGGTAGTCCAAGATTAAGTTGCTGGCTGATTTGGTTCCTGGTGAGGGCCCTCTTCCTGGCTTGTAGACAGCCACCTCCTTCCTCCTTGCTGTTTCCTCACAGTGCAGAGAAAGGTCGGGGAAGCTCTCCTGCCTCTTCTAACAAGGTCATTAATCCCATAATGAGGAGTCTATTCTCATGACCTAATTATCTCCAAGACTCCATCTCTAAAATTTTTAATCAGTACTATTACATTGTGAGCATTGATAAACTGAGGCTTGTTAAATTTTTTAGTTTATTTGAACAAAAATTGGTTCAAATTGGGTGGAACCACCTCATAAATGGTTAGGAGCACCCCATCGAAAGGAGACAGGGCAGAGACTTTTATATAGCAGATGTGGAAGCACAGGAAGGAAATTATTTGATTGGCTATAGCTTAAGTGGTTTCCTTGATTGGAAAAGTCTAGTTGTTTGTGATTGGTTTCATTTTCTTAGATTTTAGTTTCTTCACCTTGAGGGACTTAAAGCCTTGGGTTTTAGTTTGCTTATGTAATGGCTGCTAAGGCATTAAAGCCACCTCAGTCTAATGGCCTCCTTGTTTAATTTAATAGGGGTTAGGGCTTCAATAGGAGAAGGCAATGGCACCCCACTCCAGTACTCTTGCCTGGAAAATCCCATGGACGGAGGAGCCTGGTGGGCTGCAGTCCATGGGGTCGCTAAGAGTCGGACACGACTGAGTGACTTCACTTTCACTTTCACAAATTGGAGAAGGAAATGGCAGCCCACTCCAGTGTCCTTGCCTGGAGAATCCCAGGGACGGGGGAGCCTGGTGGGCTGCCGTCTATGGGGTCACACAGGGTTGGACACGACTGAAGCGACTTAGCAGCAGTAGGGCTTCAATATGTGAATTTTGGAGGGGATGCAGTTCAGTTCACAAGCTCTACCAAGACATTATGTAGGCATGCATTTTCTATTTTAACTCTCATGATGACTCTATGAAGTGGGACCTTTATCATCTCCATTGTCCAGATGAAGATACTGAGATTTACATCTGTAAAGTAATATGACCAAAATCACCCAGTTAATAAGTGGCACAGTCTGGATTCAAACCCAAGTGTGAGTGATATCAAAGAAGCAGGTGTTTCTTTAAAACTTCAACCAGAGCAGAAGTCTGTCACTCTCAGCTCTGTAGAGAGAGGCACTGTTTGCCTTGATTGCTCCCTGCTGGGTTCTTGAGCCAGAATCAGGAGGGTGGTGGGTGGAAGCAGAGCAAAGCTTGTGTGTGTGTGCACGTGCTAGTGCCTCAGAAAGGGAAGTGATTCTTTGAGTCTGGTTCTTGGCGGAGTTGTTATTTGGGGGTGGGGGGGGGTGTGTGGCAAGCAAATCATGATGAATACTCTGCAGATTGCTATGGTCTGGGGTAAGGGAATAATGACTGGATTATACTTTTCAGCTTGCCTCTGCAATTTTATTATTAATGTCAGTGAATCTAGTTTCTGCTGTCTGCATATGAGTATCTGGCCATCGCAAGCCCCTTCCCTAACCTCCTTCCCTTGTGATAATTTTGTTTTCAGTTCAACTTAGCCTGGTAAAGCTGTACCTTCCTTGGGAAGCCTTCCTGGCCATCCTTTGTATTTTCTGAACGTCCAGTTCCTGCCTCTTACTCTGCTTGTGGAGTGTCTTGATAGTCACTGCATATATCTGTGTCCCATTGGAAGTATGAGTTTTTAAAGGGTGAAGAAGGGGTTACTGTGTTCCCATATTAGCTTAGTGTTTGGAACTGAGTGGAAATTATATAGTCATAGAATCTTAGACCCATATGGACCTTTTTCCTTACTGTGTACAGCCCCTTATTTGACAGATAAGAAAAGTGAGGTGTCCTGAAGACTGATAGCTTGCAGTAGCAGGTACTGGGACAAGGACTTGGGCGTCCTGATTCCCATGTGGGAAGTTAGGGCTTTTGTGTATTTAGCATCTAGTGAGGGCTGGATTCTCCCCACGGAGGCCCATTGGAACAACTTGGGGAGTTTAAAAGATACTGATGCGTGGAATGAGGTACAGAGTCTGATTTATTGGTCTGGAGCCTGGCCTGGAGACTGGGAATTTTAAAAATTCCTCAGGTGAGCCTTGCTTTCAGTTAACATTTAGAACCACTGACTTAGGGGCTCTGAGCACCATTGTGTTTGAGATTTATACTTGATTTATGGAAAAGATGAATAAGTGAGCCAAATGACAGTATAAATCAAGCAAGTTAGACAGTATTGCAGTACTCTAGAGTTAAAATATTCTAACAGAAATGCTCTCAAAAGTGAGAAAAAGGCAAACGGCAATCAATTTGGAGACCTGCCACCTTCTCCCCTTCACATTGTCTAGTTAGTTCTTTGCTGTCTCCATCTATGGCTTCTGGCATTTACTCTGTTAGTTTCATTGCAGTGGATAGGCATGTGATTTAGAAAAATAATGCTTTGTTGTGATGAGATTCCTGAAATAATTAGTTGAGTGACGAGTGAGCAGTGAATGACTTAAAAGGAAAGATTGTAAAATATCGTGCTGCCTTAGAAAAGAATATAGAATCTTAGAGCTGAAACAGTTCACCCCACTTATTTTGCAGATGAGGAAATTAGAGCCTAGAGAGGTTAAATGTTTTGCCCATGGTCACACAGTTGGCAGCCAACCAAGAATCAATTCATTCATTTATTTATTGTTGAAAACGTTTGAGTATTCCTTTGTTTCAGCACTCTTCTGTGTTTTGGAGATGGTGGTGGACAAGTGAGCATTTATGAGTGCCGTGTATGTGCGTATATTGTAATGGTGAAATAGAGAATTTTAGCTAGTCTACATCTTCTGAAGAAAATGCTTGGTCAAGTGGTGGGAAGTTTCTTTGGATTACTTTGGCAGTAGAGAAAGCCTCCCTGAAGAGGTAATATTTAAGCTGAAAACTGAATTGCAAGAAGTAATGAGTTGTCCACACAAGAATTTGGAAACAGAACATCTAAAAGAACAACCAAATGCAGAGTTTTGGAAGTGGGGAAGGTTTGGTCCATTTGAGGTGCCTTCAGGTGACAATAAGGCTTCCCTGATAGCTCAGTTGGTAAACAATTTACCTGTACTGCAGGAGACTCCAGTTTGATTCCTGGGTCGGGAAGATCCACTGAAGAAGGGATAGTCTACCCACTCCAGTATTCTTGGGCTTCCCTTGTGGCTCAGCTGGTAAAGAATCTACCTGCAATGCGGGAGACCTGGTTTCAGTCCCTGGGTTGGGACAATCCCCTGGAGAAGGGAAAGGCTACCCACTCTAGTATTCTGGCCTGAAGAATTCCATGGACTATTACAGTCTATGGTGTCGCAAAGAGTCGGACATGACTGAGCGACTTTCACTTTCAGGTGACACTGTGGTTGGAGGGCAGGACCTGAGGGGGTGAGTACAGTGAGATGAAGTTGATAGGCAGCCAGGAAGCACAAGTGTCCTGATCCCAGTCCAGAACTGGTAGGGAGGGCTACATAGAATCAGTCTTGGGTGGTTTTTATGTCACGAAAGGTGGGATTTTTTTGCAGGGAGTTTTAACATAGCCTTAGGGTTGAATATATCTACTTAAATATAACTTGGCTGAATGAGCATTTACAAGAAGATGTCCACTGATGCTTGAAATTTAGACCCTACTCTGTCACCAGTTCTGCTCTGCCTTAAGTGTGGTTGCTTACATTTTTAAAGGTTCTCATTTTTATTTTTAAAGAATCTATCTTACTCATGCATAGGATGAATACTGTATTTTGAACCGATGACTAAATTTTGATTTCGCATGCTGTTGGTTCAAGTGTTATGAAGAGGTGATGCAGGCACCATTGTGCTAACTCAGATTTTATACTGAGGCATGGGGTAGTTTTTTGTGCTGGAACTGCTTTGCTTCTTTACTGAGATACTGCTTCTGTGCCCCCCTGCCTCACCCCTCTGCTTTTCCTCTCCAGATTGAGAATGCCAGTGAAGTGCTCATCACTCCCTTGGAGAAGTTTCGAAAGGAGCAGATTGGGGCTGCCAAGGTGAGAATTTTGCAAGCCTTCTTGGATTTCAGGACAGGAGGTCTGGAAAATACAACACCTAGTGTCTGAAATAAGACAGAGAGGTCAACCTCAGATCAGTCATTGTAGTGTTTTGATATCTAATTGTGTTGTGCTAGTTCATAAATCATCCAGAGGTGGAAACCGTGCCTCCTTTGCATGAGTAGTTACCTGTGTGTTTGGACACTATGGAATTGTATTGTTTGCAGAGGTCCAGGACTGAGGCCTAGGACAGGGGTTGCAAATAGGCACCTATGTATGTGAGGACCCTCTTCTTAGCCCATTTTTACTGTGTGTGAAATTGAGCCCTTTGTTGTTAGATCTTTGCATTTTTTCAAGAGAAACTGAAAAGTCAATGTTTTATGTGAAATTTCCTGGCTTTAAAAAATTGGGGCACATAATTAAAAAATATATATTGCATGCTGTGCAAGTCAGAAAGTGGGACTGCTTCAACCCAGAGGTCAGCATTTGTTACCACTGATCTGGAAAGATGGTCGCTGAAACTTGGCTGATTCTAACCTTACTCATTTTTTTAAAAGTGGATTCTCCTGGGTTTCCTGCCCTCTGATAAATCACTAGACAGCCCTAGCCAGGTTGACCTTCAGTAGAGTGTTAGAGGCCACCTATGGGCAAGATGTTTTCGTTGGAATCAATGAAAGCAAAAGGATTTTCAAGGTTTTCTTCCCTTTTTTTTTTTTTTTTTTTAACGGAACTGAAGTCATTTGGCTTGCAGCCCCTTGCGCCACCTGCAGGGGATCTTGGACAATGTCACCCTCTTGTTGAGACCGTGTGGATTTTACTCAGTTGTGAAATGGCCTTGAGAGGTGCCTACTTGTAGGTAGGAAAAACAGAGCTGAAGTATAACTAGGGGTGGTCTCTTCAACCCCCAACTAAGTGCATCTGCTTTCTGAAAATGAATATGATTAGGGCGTGAAAGAGACGTTCTGGTCAGTCACCGTTATTCAGAGGGATGGACGACCCTAATTTGAAGGAAGGACCGTGGCCAAGATTTTTCTTCCAGTTTTCCAGCACTTCCCATCCAATTTAACAGTTTTCATTTATGAAGAAATTGGAGCTCATTGGTATTGTATCATATACGTTCAGGAATGTATAATTTAAAGGAAGTCTTATCCTGCTAAGCTTTTGTCCAAGCCTTTGAACAGGCCCAGGGACAGATGGGAAAATGCTGAGTGCCCCTCCCTGAGCTCTCACTGATGCAGACCCCATGAGCACCTTCTCTTTTGTGGCCCTGGGGCCTCTGCCTCCCTGTCCTACCAACACGGAAGTGGCTCTGGAGGGTCCTAAAGAGCTTTGCGGCAGAGGCAGAGCAGACCCATGTATTGAGTCATCTTTCCAGTAGTCACTTCTCCAATTGCCAAGCACAGATGCCTCTCACTCTGGCCTCTTCCCTCGGTGCAGCTTTGGGGATTACCATGGTTACCATGGAGGAGGAGGGGGAGTCTGAGCACGCTTCTTTTGGGCTGATGTCAGTGATGGTCATGACAGGAGCAGGTCCTTTTCAGAGAGCTATAGACGGTGAGAAACACAAGAATAAAAAAATTTGTAGAAAACAGTCACTCACCAAAACATGTTTCTCCTCACACACACTCTCCTCTCTCATTCTTGTCAAAGAACCATGTGGTGAAATTGGGGATGATTTCCCATACCTCCCCCTTTGTTATTTATTTTTTTCTATATATCTGTTCCTCATCCCCACCTCCACACTGTACATGTATGTCACAGAATTATGTACACTTACAAGAACACAAAGAAACAACAGTCCCTCTACTAGGCCGTGAGGGAGCAAATTCAGGGATACCTCAGAGCCAGGAAGTTCTCTGTAGCGGCCAAGTGGAAGTTTCCCAGCTCTGCCCGTGTGATGCTTAAATTACCCATCCTCCTCCCAACTCTGGTGCCAGTTTGGTTGCTATAACAACCTGTTGCTACTTGAAGAAGCAGAAGTTAGAGTGCTGGGGGTGGTGGCAGGGAGTGAAGGTTATGAGGAGGAGCATTCTTGTGCTAATATGGCTGCTTTGGGGTAGGGCAGATCGTATGCGCTTGGCTTAGCCATGGCCTTACTTTTAGATACCTGAGTTTGGGGGAGTTGATTTTTCTTAGAGCCAAAGCTGGGTTCTCCAGTGAAACTACAATAGACGTCAGAGAAGGTGGTTCAAAGTGGGACTGCTCGAGCCCAAATCCCGTTTGTGCTGTTCACATGTAAACATGGGTCGATTACTGACCTTCTTTTTCCTAAACTGAGAAATGGGGATCATGATAGTGCTCGCCTTACAGAGTTATTATGAAGAAGAAATCAGTGAACCCCTATAAAGTGCTCAGAATGCTGTCATAAGGTCATTTGGTATTAGCTCTTCTGTTCCAATGCACAGTTCATTCATAAGATACGATGAGAGCCTGCTGCATGCCTGGCACTGTGCTCCACTTTGCTGTTTGGTGGAAAATAAAATGCAGATGTAGTTGCCTTGCTTGTGGCATGCCGGGAGAAAGGCCCTGTACAGAATGGTGTAAATAAGCATATGATCTTGCACATTGCGGTGGGTGCTGGTGAAGGGTTTCCTTCCTGGGATGTGGGACATGGAAAGCGAGTGCTGCTTTGATAAGAAGGAGGTAGGTTTAGATGCTGGACCTCATCATCACTGCCACTACCCTGACTGCCACCACCATCATCAGCACGGAATTCTATCAAGCACTTTCCATATGCCACGTGCTCTGCCAAGCACTGGATATGACTTATCTCATTTATTCCTGACAGTCCTACAATGGGGTGGGTGTTCTTAATGCTTTTTTGTTAGTCTCTGAGCTGAAAGGGAAAACTGGAGGCATTATCTGGGCTAGTCATCCTTAATTTATAGATCAGGGAACTGAGTCCTGGAGGGACAGTGGTTTGTACAGAGTTGGGAATCATTACCAGGATCCTAACTCTGTCTTGGATCCATTTTGCCAAATATTGTGTACCCTCTGGAAGTCAGTGAATAGCATCTTGGTACCTGAGTGAGGGAGTCTTACTACCTTCCTGTCTAAAGAACATTATCTCAATCTTAGTGGAGTTATGCCCCCAGAGATCTTGTTGCTGTTTTCTCAGGACAGGAACTGCTTCCTGTTCCCTTGAGTTCTGGCTGTCCTCTTGAGCATGGAATGTGGAGGCTCAAGTTGCCAGAAAGTCACAGAATGTCAGTGACTCATGTTCCCAGGCCTCTTCTCACCTCTGGTCAGCTGGACTGTGCTGGCACAGGGTTCTCTTTGGGGGGTTGCTGACAAGGCTGATGAAAGGGCTGAAGGAGTATTAATTAGAGTTGGAATTGCAGCTCCAAGTCACTAGATTTCTATGAAGGAAAAGCATTGACTCAAGTGTTTTGTCTGTACCTTTCCTTGTTTGAAGGAGTGATGTGTCCTCTGGCTTTGTCTCTACTTGCTTCTGCATGTTTTTTTCATGTATGTAAGGTTTTCAAACAAAATTCAGATTTGTAGACATGGACACTTGCCAGCTCAAATGGGTAAATGATGATTCTGCCCATTTTGTGAGGCTTAGAGTCTTGGTGTTGACCAGATAAATGGTGTTCTGATGCCAAGGGTGCTTGTCAGCGCTTCAGGTGATGGTTTCTTGGTGTGTCCTTCACGCTTAGGCTCTGGGTGTTCTGCCCATCTGCATTCATCAGTCCCCTCCCCCTCACTAGGTGAGCAGATCTTTGATCATACTTCCCCTCCCTAGGGAGGCCTCTCCAGAACATTTGTCTGCAAGAATCTTTGGGACTACACCCTGTCTCCTTCAGGGACCTGTGGCAGTCTGAAATCATGCTGTTTGTTTACTGGTGAATTGTGTTTCTCCTTCTGCTTGAACACCTCTACCATGAGGGTGGGGCCTTTTCTGCCTTGTATTTCCAGTGCCTGAAGGATCCTTACACAGAGTGCTTGCTCATTACATCATCATTAAATGAAGAGGGGTCTCAGCTTCCTTATCTGGCAACAAATTTTTTTCTCCTCCTATAAGCCTTGAAGTTGCAGAAAAATATCTCCCGTGGAATCCCCGAAAGTCAAAAGCAGGAATGATGCACCCAGTTAGTGCATTTGATCCTTTTTATTAGGCCACGGTGGACCTTCCTCCAGCCCCCTTGCCTGCCATCTCCACTGAAATGTGGAGGGAAGAGAAACCACCTACGACAGTATGTCCAGGTGTGGGCTTAAAAGCAGCTTGTCTTGGGCTCAGACTCCAGCTCTGTCACTCTCTGGAACTTTTTACAGAAGTTAACCTCCTGCATCTGAGTTTTCTTATCTGTAAAATAGGGAATAGAAACTCAGTGACTTTGGGAGAGCTAATACAGTGTTTCAGTTCAGTTCAGTCGCTCAGTCATGCCTGACTCTTTGCGACCCCATGAATCGCAGCCCGCCAGGCCTCCCTGTCCATCACCAGCTCCCGGAGTTTACTCAAACTCATGCCCATCGAGTTGGTGATGCCATCTAGCCATCTCATCCTCTGTCGTCCCCTTCTCCTCCTGCCCCCAATCCCTCCCAGCATCAGGGTCTTTTCCAATGAGTCAACTCTTCGCATGAGGTGGCCAAAGTATTGGAGTTTCAGCTTCAGCATCAGTCCT